TTTGAAAAATCAAAGTTGCTACTGCTTTCTAATAGAAGCGGCAACACCGCATTGTCGAAAATATTTTAGTTGGCTAGAGAATGTCCGAATATGCCCTCCATTAAATTTTCAAAGTGATCCGTTGTCTGGTTCACCAGAAACGTCTAATGTGCCATCCACCGTGAATCAGCCTGTATATAGACAATAAGATTCATCAACGTCAAAGTATGAAAAAAATATCATTCAGAATGAGAGTTTGGTCTCACCTCAATTGGCTTTAAAAGTTCTGGTTCGGGACATGCTGTGGGTAACATGATGACTACGCTGCACCTATCGTCAGCTTCGACGCCCCCAATATTTTTTTTCACGTACCACTCAGGAGTGTGACAAGTATACATATCCGATGGAAGGCTGTTGCAGTACTGACAGAGAAGAGGAATCGCCGACGTCATATTGACTTGAGCCGAGTCTAAACCATTCACGAAGTAAGGCGGTAGCTCGGCTTCGTTGTACATTTTTTCGATGTTTTCCCGGGAAGGATCGGATCTCTCCTGGTTCTTTCCTATCAAGTACTAAACAGAACAAACGATTTATATCATAATTTTAAGAAAAAATGTATTTTAAACCCACTTCAGTTCATTCCAGAGCTCAACCCATGAGCCACGTACCTTTTTTTTTCCTAACCACGTACCTACAAAGTCGTAGGTCCACATGAGAGGCAAGGGTGAGGTGTTTCCATCTGTACTTGAGCCAGCGGCGGCTCGTCAGAGGAGGCAAGGGAGGCTTAGCCTCCCCATAAAATTTGAGGCTATATAAATACATAATATGCCCGAAAAAACACTATCACTCACTACGTAGTACGTACCACACTGTATCCTGCGTCAACAAAACTCAAACGCACCGTCCATGAACGAATAATGAATAAACCATCAACCCGAAATAATAAATGCCATACGTTACAAAGGAACCAAGCCTCCGACCGCTTTAAAAAACACAAGCTCCGCGAGACGGATCCAACCAGCAACATACGTCCCGATTTGTAATTTTAATTGCAGACATTATAGCGTTAGAGGAGGCTAGCCTCCAGTTGGTCTCCGTTAGTGTACGGCTGCGTTTGTTTTTTATTTAATTATTCGGACGGGATGCCGTGACGGACCGGGACTGAAAAATATTTCGGTAAATCGTTTTAGTGTTTCTTGATAATATTTGTTATTTGTGTATGAAACAGGCAGTATTTTATTATAGTAGTGCTTTTTGGTAATATTTTTAATGTGTTTTTGAAGTGTTTTTTTTTTCATTTATTATGGATAAGTTGGACGAAATTAAAAAATCTGACGATATAGTCGATTGGTTGCTGACAAATAATTTCAAGTCTTTATCTTATGATAATAAATTTTACATCATTAAAACTCCGGGAAGGCCTCAACCAAATTTGATTTCAATTAAAGCATCAGATAATCGGCAAATCGAGGATTTAATATTAGTTGGTACGATAAATGCGATTGGTTAACCGGCTCCATTAAACGAGAAAAACTTTTTTGTTGGCCCTGTGTTTTATTTTCCGTACAAACCGAATACCAAAGTGGTCTAAAATAGGATATCCCGATTTAAAAAATTTACCTCGTTCTACAGAAACACATTTTAAATCTAAGGAGCATATATTTTCGTCTTGTAAATTAAAATTGTTTAGCAAACAAAATAGAGCAACAGCTATAGATACAGCTCAAAAAGATGCCATAATTTTTTTTAATAATCAGGTTAGGTAAAATCGGTCGAATTTAAAAAGACTTATCGATATTACGATTTATTTGGGTTCCCAAAATTAGCTTTTCGCGGACACGATGAAACCGAAGATAAGATCAATCTCGGCAATTACAAAGAACTTTTAATGGTATGGGGCAAATATGATTCACAATTTTGCACTTTTTTAAACGGTAGCGTTTTTTTGGGTACCTCAAAAACCATCCAAAATGAGCTTATAGACAGTGTGGCATATATTATTGAGGAAAATATAAGTAAGGAGATTGAAAGTGTTTCTTTTTTTGCATGGGAAATTGATGAAACTACCGATATTACCTGTACATCACAACTTTCAATCGCTTCAAAGTATTTTGCTTTAAATAGGTGCTGTACCTCAAAAAATGTTCGTACCTCCGGCGGGCTTTTCTGTGTGTATATAGTCTTTACGACTTTAGCCTCCTCTGTTCTCCAATGCACGAGCCGTCACTGACTTGAGCATAACATATGTACCTTTCCAAAATATGTTTATCATTTCATATCTTTTCGCTTCAAGACGACAAGAAATTGAAATAAGAAACAAGCGGTGAAGCGGTATATCTTCCAAGAATAATAAAATACCATACCTCATTGAGCAGCTTCTCCACTTTCTGGAACTCCGCATACTTTCCCTCGAAATTCCTCAAATTTTCCACCTCCACCATGATGTAATACAAGCTCTTCCTGTGCCTGGCCCGTCCTTTCGACTGAATGTACGAGCGATAGTCCTCCGGCCTGTCGTACTTGATGACCAGCGTGCACTTCGGAATGTCCACGCCTTCCTCTAAAACGTTTGAAGCAACCAAAACGTTGATCTCCTTGTCTGTGAACGCCTGCAGGACCCGCTTGTTTCTCTTTGCCCCATAAAGATTCTCCCTGGTGTCGTTGAGGGGGTTGTTGTTGCACCCGACGATGTACTCCGGCTTCAGTTCTTTGTATCCCTCGTGGCACTCGGCCAAAGCTTGCAGAACGTGGTAGATCACCTATATATGAAAGTTGATAGTGATAATAATAAGGAGAAAAAAGAGTATTGTATTCCCTCTTCTGCACCTTCAAACAAAAACCGACTGAAGACATCAAATTTAAAATAAACTCTGCAAAAAAGTAACTTTCAGATACAAACTGAAAGAAAAAGCTCTTTCGAAACTACTACATTTGAAAAAACAGATGAAATCTTCATTGGCATCGATAGAACGATCAGAATAATTTAATTTTTGAAGATGATTTCATGCAAACGTTGTCCGCGGCTCCGCTTTAGATGGCCCATGCGCAAGGTCCAACTTTGGCACACTCTCTCTAACATATCGACCGGTATTTCACGTATAAATGCTTCAATATTGGCTTCCAGAGCGTCAGTCGTTGCTGGTTTATCCCTGTAGACATGACCCTTAACACGACTCCACAAGAAATAATTCAAAGGCGTTAAATCACACGATCTAGATGGCCAATCGACGAGCCCCAAACGTGAGATAAACTGTTCACCGAAAGCGGCTCTTAATTGGGCTCTTGTTTCGCATGCTGCGTGGCACCGTCTTGTTGAAACCACATGTCAGTCATGTCTAATTCTTTCATTTTGGGCAACAAAAAGTCGTCAATCATCACACGGTAGCGCTCGCCAATTACAGTAACGTTCCAGCCATTGTCGCCTTTGAAGAAGTACTGCCTGATGATGCCACCGACCAATAATCCACACCAAACAGTGACTTTTTCGGGATGCATCGGTAGCTCTTGCAATGCTGTGGCTGGTCTTCGCTCAAGATGTGATAGTTTTGCTTGTTAACGTATCCATTCAACCTCGTCGCTGAACACAATTTTTCGATAAAAATGTGGGTCTTCCTCCAACTTTGCCAGCGCCCATTCACCAAATGTTAGACGTTGTGGGAGCTCGTGCGGCTTCAATTCTTGCACCAGCTGTATCTTATAAGGATTAACACCCAAATCCTTTCGCAAAATTCTCCACGTAGTGGAGTAACAGAGCCCCAATTGCTGCGAACGGCGGCGAATCGACCTTTCACGGTCATCACGAACACTGGCGAATACAGTCGCAATATTTTTTTCGGTCCTCACTCTACGCATGCGTATTGGTGGTTTAATGTCCAATAATGAAAATTGGGTTCGAAATTTAGTGACAAGCTTCCGAATAGCTTCCTCAGTAGGCCGACGAAACTGCCCATAAATTGAAAGAAGTGTACGATGCACTTTCTTCACCGAGCATGAATTTTGATAATAAAATTCAATAATTTGCAAGCGTTGTTCATTCATGATTAAATTATAGACCAAACTGAACAAGTTTTACAATGACATAGGACACGATTCACGCGTGATCTGTCAAAAACGGTGTTGCCAAAAAGATACCAGCAAGAAAATCACTCATTACTTTCATATGATGAATGCATCACGCGAAAAATAATTTCAACTATTCGGTTTGAACTTCAAAACATTCGTTATGAAATAGTTAAGCTACACAATATAATAATACATGGACCAATCAGAACAGCCTAGTCACAGTGCGGACCAATCATAACAGCCTAGTTACAGAGCGGAACAATCAGAACAAATTGGTCTCCACAAGTGGGGACCAATCAGGAGTGAGCATTTGTATTGACACTCCGCCTTCGCTCCCACCGTCGTCTTCCCCACCATCATCTCCCCACCACCTACTGCAATTATAAATACGAGTGGACCAGTAGCTCGCCAGTCAGTCGCCACCGAGACTTCGTCCTCGCAATCAACGCAATTACCACTGATGATGTCTGTTGCAGTAGCAAATAAACCGTTTGGTGCTTCAGGTTCTCTCATATCGTGACCCCAGCCGTGAAAGCCTATGTTTTATTATTGTACCATAGTCTATTGAAAAAACTTTTCTCCAACCAGAACAAAAATGTTTTCTGGTGAACGAAAAGTTTTTTCAATAGATTAATCTTATGCCAGAGGTTCCAAATTATACTCATCAACTACCATGTCATCAATGATAATATTCATAAAGTAGGTAGATATATTTTTACCAGGATAATAATCTATTCTAAGAGAAACTCATTTTATATTCGCGATTCGAAACATTGGTTCGGTACGCTTCTATAGAAGCTTGTTTTTACATGTTTTGACGTTGCTCTTCTACTATGTAGCATATGATAATAAAGAATTTTGTTACTATTGTACCTTGGCAGTGGACCGCCTCGCCGTGAAGACGATCGCGCAGAGCTTTTCCTCTGACTTCCTCTTGTACTCGTCGAGTATATCCAACAGAGCGAGCATCTTCTCCGAAGAAAACTTGAAGATCTTCTGGCGCTCCTCAAATTCCACCATCGCGTTCGACAGCGTCTCCTTGACATACGACAGACAGGTCTGTACGTACATCAAAACTCGGAAGAAATTAATCTCTTCGCAGTGCTGTTTCATTCGCTCGACTTGGATCAAGCACGAGACCGTTGCTTTGAGCCCCCCGTAGCTCCCCATCGTTTCGATGTGCTTCGCGAGGTCTTGGAGCATGTTCGAGAGGTCTTTGCGACCTGCAGACGTGGAGAGCGGTTGGAGCCCTTTCAAATCGAGAGGTTTGGCTTTCGTAGAGTCGTCTACTCTCAGGAAGTTCAGAACTGTCTCGGTTTTCTTCAGGAAGTTCGTCGCTATTCGTTCGTGCGGTTCTAGGATGTGGGCGTCGCACACTTTTAGGTGTTCTGAGGGGTTTGTGGAGTAGCTGGAAGTGGAGACAAACCCAGTTCGGTGAGAAATAATATGAAATACAGCACAATCCCTCAATACTTAACGATAAATGTAAAATTATAACAAAGCAGGGTCAGTGAAGTTATTTGAAAGTTAAGAAAAATAAATATATTCATTGAACCACTTAAGGTGAACCACAGAAGATGGCAAATAAACATACTTGAATAAGCGAACTATTTCCCTGCTATATGGAACATTATCGGTAATGAAAATATCAGGGGAACCGAACCTTGCAAAAATGTGCTTAATTTTTGAGATTGCAGCTTCAACATGTCCAATTTCACGGGTGCGATCTTATTAACAATTTTGCCTAAAATATCCTTAATATTGTTGTAAATGTCGTTAACATCTATACTATTCAGTAGGAATACACTATTAATTAAATTTAAATGCATGGTATGCAGGTTTTCATCGGTTAACTTTCTAATCATTTTAGTGCACCTCTCTGCTGTAGTAGGTCTCACATTTTGAAAACATTTAACAGTTATTATGGAGTGATCAATGATCTTGGGTTCATGCAATACTTCAACTTCCAAATTATCCTAATTTATCAATACATAGTCTATTAAACTTTTACTGGTGTTAGTTATTCTAGTCATTGTTTCCACATTTTGATGTATACCATAAGCATTGAAAAGATCTTTGATTTTTTAACACAAAATTCATTAGAGAAGAAGTCTAAATTAAAATCACCAGCTAAAATCACTCGAGGATTCCTGCAAAATATTTCTTCACATATTATTTCCATTTGATTGAGAAAAGCTGCATGACTTCCACTAGGTAAATAATATAAACTTCCTATTATCCATTTCGTGCTGCCGCTGGTTACAGATATCAATTTACACATAGTTTTTACAGTTTGTAAATTTACTATCTTTTGTAATATAAATAATTACACCCATTACACACAATTTTTTTCGCTTGTGGTTCGGGCTTCACTAAGTAAAATAGTGGCAGGATGGTACCAAACAATCTCAGCTATCAATTGAGTTTTGTGAGCTAACAACTTTCTATGTTTAAATAAACAATATCTACATTGATTTCAATTGACGTAAATTCTCTCTTTTCTGTTGTATGATTTAGTTTTTTGCATAGTATTTATTCACTATTTTTGGAATTCCATTCAGATATTTTATAGTAGAATTATCACCTTCAGCTATGATGTTATTCAGCTTTAATTTTAATTTTTTGTAGTACTCTCGTTGAACAGTCGTTTGATCTGCAAATATTCTGATAGAAGCAATAATATCATTGATTTTTTCAGGGTTACAAGCTATTTGAGTGTTTTCCACATAATCCTCGGATTTGACCTATTTTCATCAATTTTATCATGATAGTGTTTTTTTTTCTTTGAGTTTCAGTAAATTCACACATTTATTTCGAAGAAATTTATAGTGGTTCCAATTTTCTTCAGTTCTATTATTTTTGAACATCTTGTAAGCCCAATCTCTTTTGTCACAATGTATTTTAACCTCGTTGTCATACCATGGTACACTATATGACTTCAAAGTGTATGTTCTTTCTGGTGCAACTGAGTCAACAACTGACTCACACTGACTTTTGAAGTCTTCATAAAATATATCTACATCAACACAGCTCAACAAAAAGTTACATGGTATCAAACTCAAGTTAATCCTGTCCATATTACAATCATTGAGGTTTCTATATGTTTTTGTGATATTTTGTGCTACATAGATAGATAGATAGATATTTATTTTCTCCTTCATTGACACTATTACATGGATGTCAGAAATACATAAAATGAAATGTAAAATGTATACGGTATATATATACTAAACACATCTTCCATAGACATGGATTGTGAACGTCAACAAGGATATAAATAAAGGTAAGCTTATGGAAATTACATAAAATATGAATTGTGTACAATTAAATAGCATACAACAGATACAAACTTAGTATACTGGAGATAAAATCCATGTATATACTACTAATACACTGTGTACACCGATACACTGTTTGTGTGTTAGTATACACAGATGTGAGTTATGCATAACTGAAAATCGCAATTAAGATACAGGTCCAGATAACATTACAATATACCATCTGACCTTACACAAAACTAGAGTGCAGGTAAACAATTATACCCACTAAGTATGCTAACAAGGTTTATTTATTGGTTATGTACTACTATTTATAGTTTTTAAATAATTTTCAAATTCTTGTATATTGTAGAAGCAACCTTTGTTCATAATCTTTCTCAGTTCTTTTTTGAAGATTATTACGGATGACAGTATTAACATCTTAACTATATTTTTTGAATAGAACGTTATTTTTGTTGAATTTGATGTTATATTGAGATTTTGGTCATGCCCAGCCCAGCTTTTGTGGCTCCTGAGACTAAAAAATCATCAAAATATATCAAGATCTCAAGTGTTTAATCCCTCTTAATAAACATTCAACGTTTCTGGGGATACTCAAGACAATACAAACTGAATAAAAAATTATTACAATATATTTATCATGATTACAAAAAAAATTATACTTAATTTGACCACACTCACCCCACGACTGCAGCCAACCCATCAACTGTTGCAACTTTACTGTGAAAAGTCGTCTCTAAGGCTAACACTTTTTCGACAACCTTATGGGGTTTGCAGCTGCCATTGAGCAAAGTAGCTGTCAAACCAATAACCCGCGGGGGGTCTGTCAGGTTTTCAAAGAATTTCATCAGCTGGCGCATAGAATGATCGTTCACAGCCCTGTGACATTCGTCGAAGATCAGCAAATTCACTTTATTCAGATCTAGAAGACAGGCTGGTTAATTTGGTGATGAAAAATTGTATCTACGTACCAATGAAGTTATTATTGAACAAGTTGACAAGGATCTGCGATGTCATGATCAAAACTTGGTATTTATCAAATTCAGCTTGCCACTTGTATTTAGGCCAATTGTCGAGGTTCATTTCGCCAGTGTACTGGCCCACAGTCAAGTTTGTGCGATTCAGGATGTATTTCTGATGCTGATCAACAAGAGCAACCGTGTTCACCAGAATAATACTGACTTTCCCACCGTTGGCGTAAGATCTAAAAAGTTATCAGTCAGAATATTTTTTCAATTTGTTCATTAGCGGTTGCACCATTTACAATAAGTACAATATTAATTGTTAACTCACTCAACGGATACCCCATTTTAAAATTTTCATTTTCATAGAATTAAACCAAAAAATAAACAAGTTGAATTTATTGTTGCATTATCCTCCTGATTATTCTGATTTAAGCAACTGATTTCTGAAAGATTGTTCCAAAGATATCTGTTTTTGAAAGATATTTGGTTGAGAGTCTTGGAATCATGTTTGCCAGAGCATGAAAAGCATGAATTGGACTACATAATTTGATATTTTTCGTTGCTTAACTCATCTCTTAACAACCCTTCATATTTCAATATTGTTTAATCAAGTGCAATCCATTGTTATTAATGATGATAAACTCGCCACGGTTCATACGTAAATGAAAATGTTATTAACCTCAAAAGACTTCTGCTCATGTTCTTCAGCACCAATAGTGAGATGAAAGTTTTGCCTGATCCTGTTGGTAGGAACATGATTGTATTTTTTTTCAGTCCGATTTCCATCAGCTCTATCTGGTAATTTCGAGGCGTGAAATCTTCACTCATGTTGAAGCTTTGATTATCGACACAAACGAGATTAATCTACAATGTGATATTTTTTCACTCTTGGAACATATTCAATAATTTATTTTTGTTAACATTTGTTTCGGAATAAAAAAGAGAAATTCGAAATATTCCACCAGTTCACTCTTCGCGATACAAAAATATTCACTTTTGGCAGCTTTTGGTAAGAATGGGGGAAGTACACATTCGAAATATCGATTGACTCTTGACTCCGCGTGTATATTTCGCGCCCTTAACACAAAAACTAAAACTGAAGTGAAACCACAAACCACCTACTCTCAAGTAGTTTGTGAGTGAAACCAGTTAAACCTGAAATAACAACAGTTAAAACGAGAAAACGGTGCGAATACTGAAAACGAATCTAAAATCGTAAAGATCGTCTACAGACAGCAATTTCGTCGCATGAATACTTTCATCGGGCATAACCATACAGTGTGTCTCAAACAGAGAGGCCCCCTCCCGGGTTGAGTGCCCTGAAGAAGAAGCTTTCCCCCCAGCTATTTAGCGAGGAGAACCTACTACCCCACTCCATCCACCCCTGCTCTCCGAACGGTCCTCAACTTACTGATGGGCACTTCAGCGAGATTGACATCTGACCTCTTTTGGTCGAAAGTCAGCTTTTAGGTGCTATTCTTTCGCGATCGGAGAAACAAAGAGAGGTGCGAAAATACTTATTTATATACGACACCTCAAGACTTATCAAAATCACCCCACTATATATGTTATAGGTGATTTTTATTATGAGTATCAAGGGTATTTGAAAGGAGGCCGCAAAAAGTGGCGATATCGTCAATACATCTCCACCAACTTTGACGAGAAAACAGAAACATGAAATCGGAAACTATTTTGATATTTTCGACAGGTTTTGAATAAGAATTTGTACTCATTTTGTTTTCAGAAGAGTTTTTATTCAGAAGAGTTTATTGAAAATAATTTAGCTGGTCTAGTTGGCTTCGGAAGCTAAAGCCAATTGAGTTTGACAGTGAAAATATAGAAGAACACAAAAATACAAAAACATCAACTGCCACTGCTCGCTGCCCGCCAGCAAAAAGCGCCAATGAGAGAATCAATGAATTATTTTATATTTTATTTTATACTGTTATTAACTACTGATTCAAAATTGGAAAAATTTCTTTTTGAATGATAACTTCAACTAAGGTTAAAAGGCAGCGTAATGGTAAGAAAATCTCATCGAAGTTAGCATTACAATTCAAATGGAAAAATCTTAAGTGGATTTCATTATCAAGAGAGTTTGAAAAATTTTCAATGATCATAATGCAACACTTCATATATTTTTACTGATAATAAGACTTTATCTATATTCGGTTATTACAAAACTTGTTATGTCTTGGAATTATCCAAAACCAATTGTCGAAGGGTTTCCTTGATGACATTTTCACTAGAATCTTTTTTATATGATTGTATTCACTGACTCTTGAATACCAAATAGAAATGATCACGTGAAACATGAAGCACTTCATTTCAGAGTACAAGGAAGAGAAAACAGTTAACTCAGATAGAGTTGGATGAAGAGAATGGTGCTCGGAAAAAATCCAGAACGAATAACGATGACTGTGAGGTGAGATATTTTATATTCCTTAAATTCAAGTACATAAATGTTACTCATATTTCTAGGAACAAAAAAGAGCCGGCACGATAAAACACATGATCTTGAAGAATTTCATGTGCCATTCTTTGCTGGAGGTGAGTTTTGAGAATAACATCACCATTATCATTGGAAAGAATGGAAGTGGGAAGAGTGCCATCCTTACGGCACTTATTGTCGGACTAGGAGGCAAGGCCTCTCTCACCAATAGGGGTAGTAGTGTCAAAGGTAAGTTTGTATTGTTTGTGTTGAATACATTATTATAATACTCATTGTCACATATGGATGGAAGTGTATACAAACACAGAGGGTGATTTTCCATAGTTTTTAATGTAGCACTTTTTGTATTTACATAAAAACAAGCTTGATATTGGCTTCTCTATATTTCAGGATTCGTGAAAGCTGGAAAACCATCGGGAAGCATCGAAATAGAACTATGTAACGAAGGGCCAATGTCATACAGGCCCAGCGTGTACGGAAAACGTATAAACATTGTTCGCAATTTGAGCTCCAGTGGAGGGGGATCTTATAGAATACGTTCGGAGAATGGTAAGTACTTTCATTCGAGTTATGAGTGCACATGCTTCATCATCCTGTTTTCTTTTAAGGCGAGGTGATATCCACTCAAGCGAAGGAAGTTCAATATATCACCTCCAGTTTGAACATACAAGTGGACAATCCGATATGCATCTTGAATCAGGATACGTCGAGAAACTTTTTGAGCAGTAACAACCCTAAAAATAAGTTCACTCTGTTCATGAAAGCTACCAAATTGGACACACTCGAAGCTGAATATAAGAAAGTCCAGGGGAACAAGAGAGATTCTATTAAAATAATGGAAGAAAAGGCGGAGGTAATTATAGCTGTAAATTTAAATTACGTGAGTTATATTTTGCTCTCCCACCAACCTATTATTCAATTATTCACATTTCATATCTCTATCTAGTTGTTGAATATTATAAATGACATCCATTACTGCAGGCTCAGCATCACAGTAGAATAGTTTGATGTGCCAGTCTAGAAATTTACAGTGTAAAAATTGTTTCAACAAATTGTAAGCATTATCTTGACCGTAGCTTTGATTTGTCTCTGAATGTTTCACAATTCTTCAGTAAAACTTCATTATTGTTTGTCACTCAGAAAAAAGCATACTTAATTGAAATTACTATTGTTCACCTGACGATTCCAACAGAATTTCAAAAAACTCCAAGATGAAATCAAGAGGTTGAAGAGAAAAATCGAAAACCACAAATCGATCATTTCATTGAAGGACAAAAAGCTCTTGCTGCAACAGGAGTTGGTTTGGGCGAAAGCGAGAGACGTCGAGGAAGAATTGGAAGAAGAAAAAGCCAAAGTCGAATCGGTGGATAAAAAGTTGAACGAGTTCAGAACGAATTCCGCCAAGAGAGGGGAGAGGATCAGCACTTTGAAGGAACATATCAAGTAAGTAATGGAATTTTGAGTATTTGGATGTGGCAGTTTTATATTAGTCACAGAGACAGGGATTCAAATGGTTTCAAAAGTATGGTAGTAAATGATATTTAATGGTGATAAAAATAATGGTAATGGGGAATAGGGAGAGCTGAGTTTGTTGGAACTATTCATTGCCTATGCTCAGGCTCATAAAACCTGATAAGCCTGACGTAATCCTATTCTTTATTAACATTGCAGCTCCGGATGAGGCGAATATTGTTTGAAAAGAGGAGAAAAAACATCATACTCGTGTTTGACATCTCCCAATTTTTCGTTTCAGAAACCTTGAGCAGCAAATCTTGGAGGTGAAAGACCAGATCGAGGTACAGAAAAGGCCGCAACTAGATCTGAGAACGCAGATCGAGGAATTATCAAGAAACTGCGCCTCCAAGAAGAGAGAGCGGCAGCAAATCCAAACCTCGATCGAGTCCAAAAGCAACGACGTCAAATCTCTGCAAGAAGATATCGCAGCCTCGAACGAGAAGTAAGATTACTCATGTGCTTTTTCATTGAATTCAATTTATTGTCCCGAGTAACAATCGGCGTTTATAGTTTAGGACTATGAATAACTACAAAGTATTATAAAATAATAGTGAGATGGAAGAAGATGTTTTACAAGTAACACGTCTTAAAAAACATTGAAATGCAGCTAGAAATGAAATCGGAAATGTTCAAAACGTTGTTTTGCAGCATGTCGAAGGTGGAACAACAAAAAATGGAGAGGATAAAGAACTTGGCTTCGTTGCAGAACAAGCTTAAGGGCATGGACGATCATTTGGAAACTGCTAAGAACGATTTGTTCCAGATTAAAAGCGACCTGTCGAGGAAGGAAGACGATGAGAAAAACCTGAGGAGGGAAATAGCTCAGCTAGATCAGCAAATTGGTAAGACATGACTTTGAATAGGTAGATAGATAAGTTTTTATTCATCCATGAAGATTTACACAGTGCAGCACAGTATTAAAACTTATCAGGCTGACATTCCATAATAGTAGGCACTAAATTCTCAGAAATATTATTGCATCAAAACAAAAATATTGTCAGGTTTTGATTCCATATATTTTTCCTAATCTATTTAGTATAATTTCTGTACGCCACTGCAAGAGATAGAATGAGGCAAAAACATCAGTCATTTCTGAGAATTGGTGCCTACTATTTTGTAAAACTTATCAGACTGACATTCCATAATAGTAGGCACTAAATTCTCAGAAATATTATTGCATCAAAACAAAAATGTCAGGTTTTGATTCTATATATTTTTCCTAATCTATTTAATATAATTTCTGTACGCCACTGCAAGAGATAGAATAAGGCAAAAACATCAGTCATTTCTGAGAATTGGTGCCTACTATTTTGGAATTAAAGTATAACACGGGCTAAAAAGTCCTGGGCCTAAGAAAAACCTTTTTTTTTTTCAAAATTGGCTTTTTAATCAACGTTATCACCGCCGCTCTAATATTTCAATACCACTTTTATTTATTTAATTGGGGAATGTTCCTCCTGACGAAAAATCAAGTAGTTTTCATAACAGAGCTCTAAAACAACGCTTTTTAACTTATCATTTCAACCTTTTTCTTTAAAAAATTATTTAAATACTTGAAAAAGAGGAATTAAAAATGCATTCAACATTTAAAGGGATTCGTTTCTATTTCACCATTTCGCAACATCGGTTATAGCTAATAAAGGACAATGAATGTCTTACCTGTATGAGACAAACAAATATGACATATTTCAGAGGCGTACTGTTCTGTTTTCTTATGTTCCGAGTTCCGAGACATTCTGTGACATATGA